CTTCGGAGTCCAAAGGCTCATGGGCATGTGAAGAAGCTGTGTTCACAAAGGAAACACAGTCCTGTTCTCTCTCAAGGGCCCAGCAGGCTGATAAACACACTTCCAAAGGGACTCTCATCCACTACAAAGGTGAGACCAACCCTGCCTGCTGACTGCCCCAACCCAGAGAATTGGCTGGGACATCAACTCAGACTGCCAACGATCCTATTGTTGGGGGTGCCCTGTGCACTCTCCACATACCAGGGATGGAATGGCAGGCCTGAGGGCTGGCTGAAACAAAGGCCATGGCCACAGTCAAAAGAAGCCCGAGGTCAGAAGAGCACTCACCTACTGACCTGAGAGGACTTCACCTGGACCAGGCCCTTGATCTGGGTCTCAACTTCTGCTCCTGTTCCTCTAGGCAATGTAGCTGGTTCCCCTGTGTTGGATAGTCTATCCCACACTCAGATCCCATCCCAGTAGCCTAGAGTTCATGGTCCTCACTAATACAAATCCTAATGACTTCCTCAAGTCCATCCACCTCATCACCAACTCCAGATAACGTCCTCCAACAACTGTCTCCCTCGAGCCTCAGATATTCCTCTCTCTGTATCTGTCCTCACACAATTCATTTACTCATTCATTCAAGAGGTATTTTTAAGCCTTTCCTTGGAGCCAGTCATAACGAGCTCTAAACTTCTTGGGCATTCCTCCCTTTGATTTGTGAAGCCAAGTCAGTCTGGTTCCTGAGAGACTGAGTCTCTGCTTCCCATCTCCCAAAATGCTCATGCTTGAAATCCAGACACCACACTGTGAAGAGCCCAAGTGGTCACGTGGAGAGGCCCCCTTATGGGTGTTCCTGCTGTGATTCCAGGTGACAGCCAGCAGCAACTGTCATGTCATGTAGTTAGCTAACCTATGGTTAGCAAGCCACCACAGCAGACACAGCAATGGAGCAGACATCCATTCTCACGAAGCCCTACCCAAACTGCAGATTCATGATCTAACTGAATGACTGGCTTGAAACAAGCCACTAAATTTGGGTGTGGTGTGTGGCATGGTAGTAGGTAACAGGGACATCTAGGGAGCTATGTCCCCACTCTTTATTTTTCCCATCTCAGATAGACTAATAATTACCAAGCTTCCGCTGAGTTCTCAGGCTCCATGTAACTCCCATGTAACTCAATCAGTCCTCCATGATCATTCCTTCCAACCCCTCTCCCAAGCCTCCTGCCTCTGTGAATGTTTCTGCCAGAAAACTAAAACCCTTTCCGATCACCCAACCCCCAACCACTTCAACACCACACCCAAACTGCTCGTCCCTATGTCTCTGCCACGCCTGTCCCCTCCTCTCCAGCTCATGGACACCACCTTCAGCAGGGCCCTTACTACCTCCTAACCCATCTGTCCCCCAGAAGTAATACATGTTCTTCACATTCACATTTGACATTACATCTCCAAGTCACCCGCTTGCCCAAATATCCTCAAGAGCTGTCAGCTCATTACCTGAGAATGTTGAGATTCTGCGGCCACACATTCAAGGTCCCTCACAGTCTGGGCTGGGGAGCTTCCATTTGAGGCCTGTCTCTTTCTAGAACATAGTCATACACTGCACGGCCTAGAAGGAACTTCCCGTGGACCCTCAAATGGGCCGTGCCTATGTTCACACCACTCTTTCTCCAGGTTCCACACTGCTCAGACTGAACTCCTACCAAACCTCGGGGCCAACTGAAGTGCCTCCTCGTCTCTGAGGCCGTCCCAGTTTCCTGGACAGAGCCTGACATCTTGCCCAGGAATCCCAAGTCTTTTTCTGGACCCCTCTGAAGGCAAGCCCACACTTGCCGGGTGGCAACATGAAATGCACACACATCGACTCTCGATCCTGGAGTGCGCTGCCTCGAGATGGAGGCTGGCTGACTCACTGCTGCAGTCTTCAGAGGAGGGGAAAGCATTCATTCATTTACTCCTCAAATTAGTACTGAGGGCCTAGTATTTGCCAGACTCACAGTCTAAGTGTCATGGTGCATCTGTTAGCTGAAAGACACATGCTTAGAGCCTTCTAGTATGGCAGCCAATCCTAAGAATGAAAATGTAATTATGACCTGTGACAAGTGCTCTGAAGGAAACCCAAGGAACGGGAGCAGAGATGGGGGCCAACCAACCACACAGCACCAAGAGCTGCAAATGAATGAATAAACGAACGACTGAAAGAGCTTCACTCCCTTGTGTAGCCGTCTGTGCTTCTCAAAGCCCTTTCGTGCTGAAATCATTTCATGTTCAGTCCACCACCAGACTCACAAAGCATCTCTAGGATGTTCCCCAGGAAGTACAACCTTCTGTTTTTGCAGATGAGAAATCAAAGGCCCAACAGGCACATGACAAAATGCTCCCCATCACTCGCCATCAGGGAAATATAAATCAAAACCACAGTGAAATACCACCTCACACCGGTCAGAATGGCTAAAATGAGCAAGCCAGGAAATGACAGGTGTTGGCGAGGATGCGGAGAAAGGGGAACCCTGTTACACTGATGGTGGGAATGCAAGCTGGTGCAGCCACTCTGGAGAACAGCATGGATATTTCTCAAGAAGTTAAAAATAGAGCTAGCCTATGACCCAGGAATTGCACTACTGGGTATTTACCCCAAAGATACAGATGTGGTGAAAAGAAGGGCCATATGTCCACAAAAGCCAAACTGGAAAGAGCTGAGATGCCCTTCTACAGATGAATGGATAGAGAAGACCTTGTTCATATCTACTATGGAATATGACTCAGCCATCAGAAAGGAGGAATACCTACCATTTACATCAACAGGGATGCAACCGGAGGGTGTAACGCCAAGTGAAGTAAGTCAAGCAGAGAAAGACAATTATCACATGCTTTCACTCATATGCAGAACATAAGAAATAGCACAGAGGATCATAGGAGAAAGGATGGAAAGCTGAATGGGAAGAAATCAGAGAGGGAGACAAACCATGAGAACTCTTGACTCTGGAAACAAACTGAAGGTTGCTGGAGGGGAGGGGATGGGAGGATGGGGTAACTGGGTGATGAGCTTTAAGGAGGGTACGTGTTGTGGTGAGTACTGGGTTTTATATGTGAGAAATGAATCACTGAACACTACATCAAAAACTAATGTTAAAAAAAAACTAATATGTTGGCTAATTGAATTTAAATTAAAAAAAAGAAAGAAACAAATTGAAGGCCCTAGAGGGTTTGCCCAAGATCATCACACATGTCAGTACCAGAGGCAGGACTAAGACCCTGACTCCCAGTGCAGACTGCCTCCACCGCCCTCTCTGGTCCACTCCTTGCCCGTCTCCCATCTGCTGCTGCCTGCCATCTGTGGTTTGGATCCCTGTGTTCCAACAAGAGTATGAACCAGCAGAAGGCAGAGAGAAATGGCATGTTTTGGGGAAAGGAGTTGCAGAAGTTAACTGGTTTACAACAGAACAGCTCAGAGCTTGCCTGGTGCCTCTGGACACTGCTCCCGTGGCCTGGAGCTGAAGGGACCCCCGACAAGTGGTCACTTTATTATTATTTCTTTATCGTTTTGAATTTGGTCAAACATCCTAATACAATGTATAATTATACACAGTGGGCCCTTGAACCATTCTCATCAGTACAGAAGATATGGAAATAGACAATCCTTTACATAATTTCACAGAGAAAGAGATTCCCAATTAAGCAATTGTTAATCATTATGAAAATGTTTCTCATTTCTGTTTAAAAAAGCAAATGAGAAATTAACATAAACACCCAAAGCAGTGAACACAAACAGTAAAAGTTCAAGGATATACATCAAGATGCTAATAGGGGCTGTTTCTGAATGGTAGCATTAAAACGGACAGTGGGAAGCCTGCTTCTCCCTCTCCCACTTCCCCTGCTCGTGTTCCCTCTCTCACTCTGCTCCTGTCAAGTAAATAAATAAAACCTTTTTTAAAAGTGACCTTTATTGTATAATTTTCTGTACATTCTATTGTGATTACTTGCTTTCATAAGCATCAAAACATAAACTGTCACCAAAAATAAATAAAAGATGTCATTACATGAAAAAAATTACTCCTGTGCTATTTGAGAACAAATCTGTCAGCATGGTTTATTAGGTCATAATCCAGAAAATCAAGACTGTGATTTTAAAAATAGTTGGGCAGCAACAGTAGAAAATCTCAAAGAGCTTGATCTAGATTCTGGGGCTATGCTAGGCAGTGGGGTAGAATCCGGGCCAAGCGTCAGGTGGTTTCCTGGGTGAACTCAGAGGGTTGCTGTGATGCTCAGTAGGCAAACATACGCACATTTTTAGAGTAATTTGTTGTATATTAAAAAGCTTCATGAGTTCCTGGCTCAGTGTGAATACTGTAAATGTCAACTGTTGTTATTGCTGGTTTTTAAATTATGAGACTTTGGGAGCCAAATTGCCCCAAAGCAGCCAGGGGAGCGAGAGACCTCCGGGGCACACTGTCCAGAGCCCCGTGATGGAGCATCTCACCTTCAGTTCCTAACACCACTGGAGGCAAGCAGGGGAGGGGCTGCCACTGCAGCTGAGGCTCATTCAGGGGGTGTCCTCATCCCAGGGGGACCCTGCTCAGGCCCTTCCAGACTGTCTGAGTGACCCCGACGTCCTACCTCTGTAGCTTCTCTATGAGGGGCTGGGCTTCGGTCTCAGAGCATGAGGCCTGGACAAGGGTTACCAAACACGGTTTCTGCTCCCCCAAACCCAGAGTGCTGGCACCTGTGGAGAAATCCCTGACTGCTCACCAAGCAGCTATAGGTACAGGGTCGGCTAACCTGACTCGGCCACCCTACCGCTGAAAGACAGACCCTGCCTACAGCCCCCATTGGTCCCTGCCGCATGCCACCTCTGACTGTGAATGGGGCCCGCAGAAGGCCAGCCCTCATCAGCAGTACCCCTCCGTCCTTGAGGAGAAACCAGTCCCTGGTGGGCACCTGTCTCCTTTATAGGGTGCTTACCAATACCCTCTACAGCCCACAGGCCCTGCCCAGAACACGCCCACACCCACCTGGCCAGGCTCAATCACCACTGTGTTTCCGGGGCCAGGCAGGCAGCCGTCTTCCAGGAGAGCAGCATCAGGGGGTAGTTCCAGGGGATGACGATGCCACAGACCCTGCCATACAAAAGAAGCGGGACTCCGTCTCTCCACACAGCCTCGGGGCCGGAGTGCACCTGCCAGTGCTGTCCTCTCTCTCAAGCTGACGCCCACTCGGCTCTGCCCTGCTCACTCCACTCCACAACGCTCTGCCCTGCTTCAATTCACTGCACTCCACTCAAGGCTTCCTGATACGGAGCCAAAGGTCCCCTGAGAGATAGCTCATGCCCGGCTTTCCAGTCCCTGATGGAAAGGTATGTTCAATCAGGCAGTAGCCCCTCTTCCCAGCAGGGCATGGTGGCAGGGAAGTTTCTGATGGGAGCTATGAGACCTGCCTAGGGACAGCTGAGTAGGGTGTGACACCAGGCAATGCGGGAGGTGATGGCAGGCAGGGCCTGGGAGAAGGCCAAGGATCCCACAGGCAGTCTGAGAGGGTATGGGAGAGGGGTGGGATCACATGGTGGGCCAGGAGGAAGCGGGTGAGGGTCTTCCTAGGCTTGAGGGCAGGGTGAGTCCCCTGGGGAGAAGGAAGCAGTCAGCCTGGGAGTCCTGACAAGGCTTGCCTGCAGTGCTTTGAGAGATGGTACGATCAGTACAAGCAGTGTCTCCATCAAGGGGAGGCCCCACAGTCCTGGTGGGCCTAATGATGACACGTGTGGTCCTAGCAGGCATGTGGTCCTGCTTTCCCCTAACTCCTATAAGATGCGGGCACTATCTTCATCAGTGTCAGACAATTACTGCCCGTCCACACAGGAGCTCCGCACAGGCTACGTGACTTGTTTCTTCATCATCATCATATTCATGATTATCATCACCAGCAGAACGTTTCCCAAAAAAAGATGACTTCTTAGCTAAGCCCAGGCAAGGGAAAGAGTGTGGACGAATGCTAAGGGCAGGACCAACAGGACCTGCACTTTTCCTGGGAGCAATGGGTGCACTGAGGGTTTGGGAGAACCACTCCCACCCCCAGTACACCCAGCAGGGTGAGACAGTGGAGGGAGCACAGCAAGTGTCCCCAGGGAAGGGGGTGAGGTCATCAGGGTTGTGAAGGCTCCAAAGGGAAAAAAAAAGCGCGAGGGAAGTCCCACTGTCGTGGCTGATCGGTACTCCCCCAAATTCACGTGTCGAAATCCTAACTCCAGGAATTAGGGTTGTTCCAGGTGTAATTAGTTAAGATGAGGTCTTACTCGAATGGGGGGCTGCCTAACCCAAAATGACTGATGCCTTTATAAAAACAAGGCCATGTGAAGAGACAGACATACAGGAAGAGAACACGGTGTGAGCATGAGGGCAGAGATAGAGAGACACCAAAGATTGCGGATAAAGCCCAGAAGCTAGGAAAGAGGGCTAGAGCGGATTCTCCTTCACACCCTCAGAAGAAACCAACCTTCTGACACTGTATCTAGATCTTCTAGCCCCAGAACGCCGAGACAGTAAATGCGTGCTCTTTGAGCCTCCTGGTTTGGGTACTTTGTGACGACGGCCCTAGCAGACTCATACACCTGCCGATATAGGGAAAACCTCCCGCTCCCCCATCTCTCTGGGAGGCTCAGCATCAGCATCTTCCTCAGTCTGACAGGACGGACACCCTGAGAGGCGCCTGGAAGATCAGTGACCTCACAGACTCATGTGTCTGGCGCCAGTGTTCACCTGGGCCCTGGGCCCCTGCCATAGTCTGCACCAGAGGAAGGGGCTCCAAGCACTCCGACCCTGCAGGACTTTCGCTCCACACTCTGACATCTTGGTTGGGGAGTTCTTTGTTGTGGGGGGGCTGTCCTGGAGCACTCCCTCCATCTCGTGTCCTCTGGAGGAAAGGCCGGGTGGGCAGCCCGGCCTGGAGTCCATGCCGTCTCCCCCCAGCCTTGCCCCTCTCTGTGGGCTACCGGAGAGGGTTTACTGTGTCCACAGCCCAGTCTCCTGACAGGAGCCTCCCTCACCAGCAGGCTTGTCCTTTAGGACCTGCTGTGTCCATCTGTGCTCATTTCTGTTAATCCAAATGACATTTGAAACCCTTCTCCTTCTGAAACACTCCAGGAAGCCGAGTGGCTCTGACCACCATCCGTGGGGATGTGAGGTCCCTGCTGGTGGGTCATGGTGTCCCCACACTGTTGGGGGCACAGAGTAGGTGGAAGGTCTGCTGGGTGCTGACCATACTGGGCCTCTGATCCAGTTTAGATGATTTTAGAGGACATTCCTCAGTATGCTTTCCTCACACAAGTTTCTCTCGGGCCTGTTCCTTGGGGTCCCCATAGCTCAGTCCCACGCCTTCGCAGAGCTGCACACCACCCAGTAAGGATGCCACAGAGCTCAGTGGGCACTGTGCCCGGTTCTGCTATCACGGCCCCAGCAGAGCTGCTGGGAGCACTCTTGGGCTGGTCACCCGGTGCGCCTGTCAGTGAGCCACACAGCCATGCCGTGTGGAGGGGGTGCATCCTGGGACTGAACAGTCAATGGCAAGCTGCCTTTCACAGGGTGGAGCCCCTCTGCTGTCCCCAGGCAGTGTGAGGGGACTTCTCTCTCCCTAGGCTATTGGGCCTCACTGCTGGGTGTAAATCATTCCCCCATCCCTAGCCTATTCTGTGTGCAGTGGACACTTGACTCACTGCCTTGGAGTGCCAATTCCTATCCGTTGCCTATTTCTCTATTATTTTGTTCCTGTTCCTTGGTTCTTTGTTCTGATGCACAGTCATCTTTATAATCTTTCCAGATAAAATTTTTCAGGTGCACCCTCTACGAGCCTGACTGCTAGAGGGTTTTTGAGGGGATTAAGTAAAATTACACTTACAAAGTCATTACAACAGTGCCTGGCACCCAGAAGGTACTTTGGGAATGAAAGCTGTTTCATTTACTAGAATGTAAGTCCCTGAGGATAGGCACTCTCATCGGCTCTGATCGTCACTGTATCTCCAATACCTGAACTGCCCGGCACGTAGTGACTGTCCAATAAACAGATGTAGGATAGATATGCAGAAACGGGATGAGTGCCCACACAACATTCCCTATGAAAAGCACCCAGTATGTGATGAATCTTCGCCCTGTGCTGTGACTCACCCAATAGGCTCCTTCCTGGTCAAGGTCAGGTTGCAGTTTGGTCTGGCATGGTTGATAGGGATGGTGGAGCCCTGGAAGAAGCACGGAGTGGCCAGGGGGGTCACTGGGAGGGGGCTCCATTGTTTCCTCACCCATTCCCCCTGGGCAGCCAGACTGTGTCTGGAGCTCAGAATTCAAGAGTCTTGTCTGTGTCCTGCAGCCCCCATGAACCAGACAGTAGAGACCCAAACCTTCCAGATTATGTATGACAGGGGCATCTGAGGACTCCAGACACAGGTGGAGTGGGCAGCCAACAGGTGCAAGGTGCCTGCTACACAGAGCCTGGCGGAGTCCTCAGATGCGAAGCTGGTCCTGGTACAGCTAAGATCTCTGGCTTCGACACTGGGGCAGAGAAAAGGGGAGTGAGAGGCCAAGTTGCCTCTGGAGGGTGTGCTAGCCCAGGAGGGCCCAGGTAGGGGCCAGCTCCTGCCAGCAGTGATGCAGCAGCAGGAGGAGCAGGAGGTGGGCCTTCCATTATACCTGTACCCCTCCACGCCATGAAGAGGACAAAAGGCATGAACCCCAAATCTGGCACAGACCCATAAACCGCTTGGTGGTGGGTGTCCCATCACTGCCTGTAGTGGGCAAATCTCTGAAAATGGGTCCCATGGTCCCACTCTGATCCCTGGGATCTGGGAGATGGTGAGCTACTCCTTCTGCAAAGATGCGGAATGGCACAGTTGACCTTAGGAAGAGGAGATGATGCAGGTGTCCCCAGCACCACCTCAGGAGCCCTCACAAAGGCAAAGTTTTCTCCAGTTCATGGCAGATGGATGCCAAACCTGAAAACAGCAAGGGGATGGAGGTCTGGGGCAAGGGCCAGAGCAAGGCCTGCAGTGGCTGACGGCAGCCCCACTGGCAGTCAGCAAGGACCTGGGCCTCAGTCCTGCATCAACAGGAGCTGAACTCTGCCAACGCCTGAATGGGCCTGCAGGCAGGGTCTCCCCAGAGCCTCCAGCCAAAGCCCAGCCTGGACACACCTTGACACTGTCCTTGGGAAACCCCGGCATGGAACCCAGCCTGAAGTCCAGCCTGCCTGGACTTCCCATCTGCAGAAGTGGGAGGTGATCAACAGGGTTCTTTTAAGCCAGTCAGCTGTGGTCAATTGTTATACTGCAGGCAGGCCAATGCACTGCCCTCAGAGTTTCCTGCTGGGCCCAGACTGCCTGTGTGAACTCACTTGGTGGGCAGGAGCCTCACCCTCACCTGAATCTTGTCGCACCAGCCAGCAAAGCAGCAGAAGGTCTGGACGGACATGCCCACATGGGTCTTCAGGGCCAATGTGTAGACAGCACCAGCACCAGCACCAGCAGAGCCTCAATGGTGGCCAGCTCCTCCTGATGCTGTTCCATGAGGTCCGCTAACCTGGCCAAGGGGTGGGGATGCAGACAGGAGGGAGATGGGCTCACGCCTGGAGCAGCCTGGCCTGTTCTTTCAAGGCCCTTCTTCAGTGAGTCAGGAGCTCTTTCCTGCACTCCCAGCTCTGCCACACTCTGCCACACTCCGATGTGCTGATCTCAGTTTCCCCATCCGTGAGATGGGACAGTGAGGTCTCCTTGGCCAGATGAATGTGAGAATGGTGCCTTTCTAGCCCTCTATCCTCTCTTTTCCTTTCTTCCTTCCTAAAATATTGATGGATTTACTACTTCATAATGATGCTTACAAATGATCCTGCAAAATAGTCCCTCTGCCTCTCTAATAAGGAGGTCACCATTCCAAAGGTCACCCTCTCTGTCTCTGGACAGCCTTGACCAGGGGAAAGCATGTCTGGTTCAAGCACCAGCCGATCTGGTAGAGTATGCCCCCAAGGATGGCATCTGTGGGGAGGGCGAGGTGGGGGGATGATGGCAGAGATTCAAGGGAAGGTGCATCTACCCAGCCCTTCTTAAATGGGGGCACTCTGACAGCCAGCTGCCCTCCCATGCTTCTGGTGGGTGCTGCTAGGGCAGCCTGGGGATTAGGACTCTGCCCCCTTCCCTGATGTAAGGGAGCTCAGGGAGCAGCATGCCCAGGGGGCAGGGTGGACAGGGGAAGATGGAGACTACAGATCTAGAGCAGCTCTCAATCTTGTATATGGAGGAGCTCTGGCCCAAAGTCTGGGACCAAAGCCTGATGAGCTGCTCCTCTCTGCACATAGCTGGGGCATGTCTTCAACCCCCAAGTACACACTCACACTCTCTGGGAAGCCAACCTTCACCCCACATCTATCATATCTCCCTGCAGTGTCCTCCTAGCACCCTCCGTCTTTCTTCAAACCTCGCTTGACTATCACAGATACCCACTTAGACAAGTATTCCAGTACTGTTTGCCTCCCCTGAGGGCTGGGACAGTATTTGGTCTCCTGCTCCCTCCAGGACCTCCTACACCCACCAGCCACACAGTCAGCATGCGGCACAAGGCTGGTGAGAGAAACTGGACCAAACAGACACAAGCAATCTAGTGGCAGAGCCACACCGTTACCTCAGAGACAGTATATACCAGGTAATTCTCTAGGTAAGAATAACATAGGTGTAAATCACTCTTCGAGAACTATTCTAGACCAGATAAGGAAAACACCATGTTATGGCATTTCAAGAACCAGGGTATCATCAACTAGAAAAACAGATGTGCCTAAGGTATAAGTCTATATTACACATAAGCCAAAGATAGCCTCCGTGTATTGGCCCCTAGGTTGTTCATATCTTATTCGCAGGGTGAGACCTGTCAGCTCAGATGCTTGCTGGATATATGTTTATGTATCCAGTTATTTTAAAAATAGTCCAAACAAGCAGACTTTTAGCCAGTTAGGGCCTTGTTGCTTCACATCCTCCAGGAACCTCACTTGACAGATGTTATCATCGGTGAGATGGACCACACAGTTGTAACTTCTGCCCCTCCCAGGCCTCTGACCCAGAGATCTCTGTTCTGCTACTGAGAAAACATTGCCAGGACATGAGAGCCCCCTCCTGGATCTCCTGACCCCCAAGAATTCCCTTGCACCCCTCCCATTGTGAGTAGGCGCCCCCACTACAATCTCTGGAGGGCCTCCCACTATGGGGGCACCATCCCATGAAGTCTGTAGAGCATTATTACTTCTCATGGCCATATCTTTTCCCTTGAACAGCCCCAAATTCCTCCAACTCTGCCAGACAATGTCACACATGTGATGTGGTCATAAGTCCCTGGCGTGACTATCCCCCTAGCATACCATTTGGGAGGCTCTTCAAGGAGAGCAGAGTGAGACTGTTCTATTGTCCACTTTGTTTAGCTGCAGCTCTACCTCTCAGAGTCCTGTCCCCAGAAAGTGCCAGTGGAGAAAGCAGGGGAAGCAATCTCTATCACCCCACAGGTCTGCAGGATGGACGTGAGGAAGGGCAAGGATGGGGTGCCAGGCAGGCTCAGCCTGGCACCCCTGGCTCCCTAACAGCAGCGTGGGCCACCACCACATTCCTGGCTGTGGACTTAAGGAAGTGTCTGAACATAGGTGACAGCTTCCCACAGACTCTCCCACCAGCTCTTGATGGTCCCGCTCTGGCAGCTGGGACACTGGCTCTCCAGGCTCCTGAGAGTCTCGATTTTGTCCCTCAGTGGTTCTTGGGGGCTGTCTGGTGACTTTCTCTAACACTCCTTTCTGGTTCTTTCCTCCCAACTTAACTCTACAATGCATTCTGTATTCCATAATATCTATCCCGGTCTTTTTTTCCTCATTGAACGAAGGGCTGCCCCCTCCTGGGCCAGCAATGTGCACACCTCCACCATGGGGACTGGGAGACTACATGAGGCAGGGACAGGGTTATTAGGAGCTCTCAGGCCTGGCCTCAAGATGTGTGTCCCAGCAGTCCAGGACTCTCTTCACAGCTGTGCAGGGACCAATAATCAATCCCTCACTGTGGTGCGGCTAGCGGTGCTATTATGGCACATGCCCCTAGATGGCAGCAGAGAACCTCAAGGAAAAAACTCCCGGCCAGCACATTCTGCCATGGGAGTCCCTGCTTCAGGGCCAGTAGGCTCAGCACCATAAGCCTGGGCTTGAACATTTTGGTTCTGCCTAAACTGGGGGCTCTAGGAAGCCAATGGCTTCCTAAAACTGATGGACTTTTCAAGGGGTCTTGAAACTAATTTGAGTTACAGCAGGTTGGGTGAACCTCCTTAAATCCCACCATCTCTGTTCTATTTCAAAATCATACAGGCCCACCCTCTCTGGTCCCCTGTGCTGGGGGCTGACCTGTTGGGTCTGGCCTCTGGAATAGAAAAAAAAAAAAATGGCATTCTGACTATAAAGCCAAGACAGGGTCTCTCTCCCACCAGATGACAAGCACATTTGGAACACATCATGACAAGGCTGTATGCCTGACAGCTTCCCCAGGACCCAGAGCAGAAAAATCAGGTTCCTGAAACCAATCTTTTCAACGTTGCTTAGTTTATCCCCCTTCTGGAAACATTACCCCACTTCCTTGGGGGTGGCTGCTCCTCCCCCATTGGGACCACTTGTTTCTAGGGGAGCTCTCTCTTCTCCAGGCCCCATTCCCACCCCATTCTCTCAAGCTGGAGCAACCCGAACTCCTTCCCTAAGTTTTCTGATGGAACTAAGGGGAAAGAATCCCCTCTGCCCTGCTTTAAGAAAAAAAAAACAAGACAGGAAAGTGTGAGATTCCAGCAGTCAGTGTGAAGCTGGGCAAGTGCCAGCAGACAGAACAGGTCCCATTCTTCCTTTGATGGCTTCTGCATCAAGTAGCCTGATCCTGCCTCTGGTCCAAACCACTCCAGGTAAAGGCCATACTGAGCCTGCCCAGGACCATCTGTTAGCTTTGCCAGTTTGCTGGTCCAATCCAATCAGCAGCTTCACTTTTGCACCCTCTCATCTTCTATCTCACTGTCCCCTCCACCAAGAACACCTTTCTCTTCAAGGTTACTTGTGTCTGGCGAAATCCCTCCTGACTCTCAAGCCACTTCCTCTGGAGCCTTTTCTCAGCCTCAGGCCCTGGTCGCACAAACGTGTCTGAGACTCTACCTCCTCCAGGACCCAAGCATGCCCAAGCTGAAGATTTGACAGGTGGTTGTGGAAGGTTGAAGGGGGCTGACAAGTGGTTGTGGGGCTCTCACCTGTACAGGAGCTGGCCCCAGTCCCGTGCATTGATCTTCCCCCACAATCCGTTCTCAAAGGCATCCTTAGCAGCAACCACTGCCTTGCCAACATCACTGACCTTGGCCAGGGACAACTGGCAGATGACCTGTGGTGGAGCGGAGTTGTGAGTTGTGTACACAGAAGCCCCACACCACCCACTCCCCTGGCCACTTGGGAGGGCTCAGAGGACATGGTCAGCCAGCAGGAAAGCCCTGGAAGGGTGTGCACAGTAAGGAAAGTCAAGGTCCTTCAGAGAGACCTATTTGTGTTTCCACATACCAGGATCCTTCTTTGCACTTGTCACTGAGCCCAAACAGGGCAACGGACTCAGGCTCCTGCTACGAGGCAGAGGATCAGCTCAGTGTTTTCAAGCCAAGAACAGAACCCATTAATTTAGTGAGTCCCAGGTGGAAGGTTTATTTCTTAGGTGAAATAGTCTAGACATTGACTGTAGCAGAACCATTCCTGTCCCCATCCTTGCTCTGTGTCCTGACAGTGCCCACATGCACTACAGGGCAGGCTCTCACACTTCTTCCACCTGGGCTTGGCCAAAGGGAAAGCCAGGAGGAGACAGAAGTGGGAGGAGCAAGGCTAGCACCTTGCTGGTCACCACAGGTAGGCTGCACCCTCCCTGCCCAAGGCCCTAGCACCCAGGCAGCCCTGCCCACACAACCTCCCTTCTGGAATTCTCAAAAGAGGCCTCAAGGTGGTAACATTTCCCAATTTCTGCCTGGCAGCACTGCACCCCCTTGTGTGTGTCCCCATACCCTTTCCACCCCTTTGTCCCCCACTTTCTTTAAACTCCCCTCAAATGACCCACTGTGTGTGTGCTATCTGTTTTCTGCAGGCCCTGAGAGATGCTATAGGGTGGAGGAGAATGGATAACTATCAGTACGCACATGTAGGACTAAGTGTTGTTTCAGGTGGGTGTATGTGTAAGAGAATACAATGTGTGTGTACTGGGTCATGACATGAGGGGATCATGGTCGAGACAGTCTGACAAACGTGGGATTCAAGGAAGAATTTCCCAGCAGCGAGGCGTACACATATTTGAGAAAGTAGGGGCCATGCTACGGCCATTGCTGAAGCGTGGAGGAGGAGGGAATGGCTTCATTTTCTCTTTGGGGCAGGGAGCAGGTTTTAACTCTGTTCCATTCTCTGAAGCAGGCTCCAGACTTTTAGAGTC